ATAATTTCTGTAGGTCAGAAGTCCAAGTACAACACAGCTTACCTAGTTTTCTGCTTAGGGTCTCACATTCAAATTAGTGTTGACTGTGTTCCTTTCTGATGCTCTGGGGAGGAATTCATCTCTAAGTTTATTCATCATGTTGGCAGAATCCATTTCTTTGCTGTTGTAGGTTAGAGGACCACGAGAGCCTCTCTAGTCCCTGCAGGTGGTTCCCACATCTCAGACCCAGCAGTGGCACATCACATCCTTCTCATGCCTAGAATCTCTCTGACTTCTGCTTTTTCCCTCAGCTGGGAGAATTTAAGAGCTTATGTAATTGCAGTTGGATCTGTGTTTCTGTGGGTTCCCACTAGTGGATTCAACCAACCACTTTCAACCTGGAAAGTACTCAGGGAAAAAAATTGTGTCTGTGCTATACATGTGTACATGTACTTTTTCCTTGACATTATTCCCTAAACAATACAGTAAACAACTATTTACAAAGTATTTACATTGTGTCAGTTATTGTCAGTAATCTAGAGACAATTTAAAGTTTATGAGAGGATGTGCATAAGTTATATGTAAATGCACTATTTAGTATAAGAATTTGAATGTCTTCTGTTGGGTCCTGGAAACAATCCCCTGTGGATACCAAAGATGACTGACTGTGTATTAGACCCACTTAATAATCTCCCTATTTTAAGACTAGTTGATTAGTAACCTTTATTGCATGAGCAAAGTCTATTTTGCCCTTTCTTTACCCTTTTATATGGTAATAGATTATACTTCCTGCCCTTTTTTTTTTTAACTTTACTAAATAAAAAATGGCAAGTTAAGATAAGGGGAATTTCAAAAAGAAGAATCCGTCTACCAGGTTGGGGAGAATGGAAAAGAAAACAACCAAACCAAAATACTTACAAGCTAGGAATAGGTAGTGGGCAAGTGATCCAGTTGAAATGTAAGAATTGAAGGAACCAGATTATTTAGGGGGGCATGAGGGGAACATGGGCATCAGAGGTGGCAAATATAAGAACTGTTGGAAAGCAATTGATAGGACGTATTCCTTCTCTTCCTCTGGGATGCTGGGTGACTCCTTCCCCCTTTAGCTGGATGTTGGAGAGCATTCTCCAGAATGAGAAGGAAGACCTAAGGGCTGGGAGACTCTAGGTGATCTAGGGGTTTAGTATTGAGACCACCTCCATCCCTCAGTCTTCTAACGCCATTTAGCTTCTAGAACATTTGACAGCCAGTCCTTTAAAAGAGACCTCACTGGGAAACCTAACCAGCCTAAGAAGGAAAAAACAAACTTCTGACAACAAGCAAGATCACCCTGGACAGAAACTTACCCACCCAAGGACTCAGAGTTTCCAGTTAATTCCTTAGTCATTCAGTCTTAATCATGAGGGTTACCAAGGATTACTGGACATCTGAAGAGCCTGTCTACCATGAAAGAAAGAAAAAAAAAATGCAGCTTGAAAGAAACAGCCTACTTAGAGAAAAAGTAAAGACATTTCTTTAGAGTAAGAATAGGATACTATAAAAAGGCACATATAGAAAACAAAAAGTTATTCAAAAATTAAAATAAGGGCAAAGCAAAAATGACAAAGTTGAAATAATCTTGCAGAAACTAGAGCAAAAAGATGAAGAGATGAGTACTAGGGCAGAGAAGTAAGAAGGTTAAAGGGTCAGCAAAGGGCTCCCACATGGGTCAAAAGGAGCTGCAGAAAGGAGAACAGAAAAGAATTCAAGTGGCAAAATCAAGGAGGAAAACATTTCCTAGAATAGAAAGTTATGTTCTTCACATTGAAAAAAGTCTAACTGTTGAGCCATGTGGATGGAGGTAGACTTGCACAAGTATCCAGAAACCTTAGTGTGCTAGGGGAAACAATCACACAAGTGTGCAGAGAGAAAGAAACAGTTTAAATACAAAGATCAGGAATCAGAGTGTTTTGGGGCCTCTCAGCACTTCAGAATACAGAAATCGTCGGAGTGATGCCTTCGTTTTTTTTGCTCTTGGTGATACTTGGTTTGAACTCAGGGCCTGTGCTCTACCACTTGAGCCACTTCTCCAGCTCTCCTTTATGTTTCTTGATGAAATTGATTCCCAGCCTAGAATTCTACACACAGCCTAACTCATTCAAGAGTGAAGGTAGCATAAAGATGTTTTCAGATATACAAGGTCTGAAAGACTCCCATTTTGCACTCATGGATTTCTCAACAAAGTTGAGCAAAGACAGGATCTCCTCTGGGTTGAGAAAAGGGATTCTGTGCATCCATCCAGGCTCTGTTCTGGGAGGGATTTCTTTTTGAAGAAAAAATAGAAACAGAGCATGAATAAGAACTTACTGAGTGGAGCGCTGGCCATGGTGGCACATGCCTAAAATCCCAGTCACTTGGAAGATGGAGAGCAGAAGGATTGTGGTTCAAGATCAGCCAGAGCAAAAAAGTTAGGAAGCAGCCCCCCAGTCTTAACCAACAAGCTGTGCATGGGGGTGCAAACCTGTGATTTCTGCTATGTGGGAGGCATATGTGAGAGGAAAGTGGTCCACAGCTGCCTCAGGCAAAGAACTAGAGATCTATGGTATGTGTGTAAGGGCAGGGATGTGGCTCAAGTGGTAGAGTGCCTGTCTAGCAAGTGTAAGCCCCTGAGTTCAAACCACAGTATCAAGAAAACAAACTTATTGAGAGGACATTTAGACAACTGGTATTGAATTTGAGGTTGATTGTTGATAAATGCATAGAAAATTAAGCAAATAGGAAAATAAGAATTCTTAACTGCAGAGAAAATAGAAAGTTGTACAGAGAAAGAAAAGCAGTGGTGGCTTACATGATTATCATAATATCAACTCTGAAAATTACCCCAGCCAGCTCCATAGTGGAGAGATGGGAAAAAACAAGGGGGTGGCGAGGAATAGGAGAGACGTGGTTCATAAGGAATAAAGAGTTACATCTTCATCTTCGAGGGTAGGAAGTTGGCAGGTAATACCAAAATCTGAAAATCTAGGGAATAGTAATGCAAGCACGTTATGTAGACATTTTTAAGAGACTTAGGTGTAAACCAAAGATTGGGCTGGTTGAATGTTCTCTGGAAAGGGGAAGCCCTGGCCTAGGGGCAGGGCTAGAGTCTCCACACAAAAGTTGATTCTGACATTATGTGCAGATATAATTTGAAAAAAAAATTAAGATGAGGGAATCTAGAATGCCATAGCGTGTGACTGTTAGAAATAAGACCCCGTAAGACCACCAGAGTCACAATTGAAGACACAGAAATGGAGAATTGTCTCTGCATGGCAAAATTTACTTCTTCAGAAGGGTACACAGGCGCACGGGCACAGCAAGCACAAGGAGTATACCATAAGCCTGCATTTTTATCCCTGACATGGAAGGGACCCTGCTCCCTTTACTCAGATTGGTTGAGTTCAGGTGCACAGTCTGCTCGCTGTTGGCTAATGCTACACTTGGAATTTAGGGGTGGAGTAGATAGTAATTTCAGCACAAAAACAGAGCTCTGTGAACAAGAATCTGGAACTGTAAGCAGCCAAGATGGTGACACAGTTTGATAGAAAAGACTGTTTTCCTCACTTGACATAGGGAAGTACTATGTCAGGAAAGTCATTTTAGTTGTGGATGCAAGTGTGCACCCTGCAGTGATTGTTGTTAAAATTATATATATTTTGGCAGTGCTGGGGATGGAACCCAGGGCTTCATTCATGCTAGGCCAGTGCTATATACTGTTACACTCCTAGACCATGAAGTTTATTTCTTACTGTGGGCCATGGTCAAACAATTAGAAAGCCATTGTTTAGTTGTTTCTCATTGTCAGCTCACTTGCAGAGCATGACTGCTCTTTAAATGAGAAAAGGTCAGTGGGGAGGAAAGTCACAGTTGAATAATAATACTTAGGTAGAGGGGGAGCCTTGTTTATTAGGTCTGCCCACTCACCACAGTGCTTCCTCTAGCAGTGGGCTCCATCTGCATTTATACTATCCAAGATGCTGCTGGTTAAGTGTGACAAGGGAAACCATGGAAAATCATGTATAGGCCCCACTCCAGGCAGCCCTTTTCATGCTCTTGAATTCTACTTTGGCCTTTTCTCACATGCTTACAAATAGTTCTGTAATTGCAAACTACGAAACTCATGTTTCATATGATGCATGTATTTTTTTTTTTTTTTTGGTGGGACTGGGGTTTGAATTCAGGGCCTCACACTTGCTAGGTAGTCACTCTACCACTTGAGCTACTCCACCAGCCCTAGTCATGAGTTTATTGGATTAAGGGTATGACCAAGTTTTTGTGTGTGTGTTAAGTGTCTGTGAATATTGCTTTCCGATGGGTAAGAATGTGTATCTGTCCATCTGTTGGCTGCCAGCAAGGTATGAACATGTCTCCCACCAGCAGTGGTGGTCATTTTGTTAAATTGAAAGTATATAATAGTGGGTTGGATTGTCTTTAAGTTTTTTTTTGTTTTTGTTGATACTGAGGTTTGAACTAGGGCCTCGTGCTTGCTAGGCAAGTGCTCTAACCTCTTGAGCCACTCCCTGTCTTTAAATTTTATTTCCAGCGATGGTGAGTATTTTTATATCTGTTAATTATGTTGAGCTTTGATTTCTGTGTAGTGTTCGTATCCTTTGTTTACCTAAAACAGGAGTCTTTTGTTTTACTAGGTGTGGATCTTTAGTGTTGTGTATATTTATCCTCTTTTATCCTTGCTGTAGCTGTAGAATATGTATCATTTATGTGTCCTTATTATTTTAATGTTACTTTTAATCATATGGGAAGTTTTGGTCATCTTGTACTTTGGATTTTTTTTTCCATTGCCTCAAAAGAAAAGATGATTTACATGGAACTGAAATATCCTGTTCTCCAGAGTGTGTGTATGAATGCATGCGTGTATGTATGCCCTTTAACTATTTAGATTGATTTTTTTTTTTTTGCTTACTTAATTACCTTTAGGTTGCTAATGACCTGTTTTAGCACTATTAAATAATTCTGCCTTTGCCTCTATTTAGAGAAGTTGGATAATGGGGAGTTTCTAGTTCTTCTCCGTCATGGACCTGCCGGTGGAATTCTGAGGGTTGCTCCACGCAGCAAGGGCGTGGAGCTTACCTCCTGATTATTGCAATTCTGACTTGGGTTTGGCCCTCAGCATTTGTGCAAGCAAGTTGTTTCCTGTTTGGTAGTGGTGCTTGTGGGTAGGAGAGGTGGATCCACCACACTGAAGCTGGCACCCTGCTGTCTCCATCTCTGTGAAGTCCCTTGTACATGTCCATGGTTTCCACACTGAATTGACTGGAGCACAAGGATCCAAGGATGAGGGTCCCTGTGTCACATTCTGTCTCTAAGGCCTCGGGCAGGGGACCAAGGATGAGTCAGCATGCTGTGGAAAGCAGGCAGACACATTTGCACTATGGTGAGTTGTGATCAAGGGAAAAGGGGAACTTGTGGAAGAGTCCTTTGCCGTGTTTGGTTAAACAATGGCCAAGGAGCATTTTCTAGGATTCCTAAGTATCCGGGTGCATGTCTCATTCACCTCCCAGGCTTTTCCAGGAACCTCGAGGCAGAGAGGTTGCATTTGGTACTCTGAGGAGCAGGATTTTCTTGCCTGTAAAAAGGAACAGACTCTTACTTAGGACATTTTCTTGTCTCATAGCACATTTCTGGCTGAGTTGGCTGTTTTGTGATAAACCTAACTGAGTTTTGGGTATATTTATTTGTTTATTTTTATAAGCATCAATCCAGCCATCTGTAGGTCCTCTCCCCAGCAAATAGCCCCCTCATCAAAACAAAAACAACCCCTGGTATTTTAGGGATCCACAGTCAGTAAAATACTGAAACAGGTAAATGTTATCTCTTTGGCTTGGCTTCTTTAGGAGCCAGTACGACCCTTCTGCCTTTGCAGGATCCCTAAAAGGACTGCAGCCCCTATCCGGACTGGTACCTGGTTCATCAGGTATGGGTTCTGCTGCTTGTCTCACATGTTGCAATTACCTGAGGAACTTGTCAATAATGCCAATTTAGGATCCAGTTCAGACCTACTAAGCAGAAGGGGGGTGGGATGGGGCTGGAATCTGTATTTAGAATAAGTGATTCTGATACTGCCAGCCAGGCTTCCCATGCCAGTGACACCAGGAACTGATCAACATCTTGGCCCAGGAAGGCAGGGGCTTTTCTGGCAGGCAGGTCTTGCTGTTACAGGATGGTGCCTGTGCCTCTGCCTGAGAGCATCTGTGCTTCTCCTTGCAGCTGTCTGTGTGGCCCTGGGATACTTGGACTTCATGGCTGTGTTTCCTGGTGTCCCCTAGCTTTGGGCGCCCAGGATGGCAGTGCTCTTACTCATTCTTGCAGGACAGTTTTGTAGAAGTATTCTGTTGGGATGGTGAGGGCAGTGGGGTTGAGGGCTGCTGGGTGGCTGTTCCTTCCCTGGGTGGGTAGACTTGAGTTCAGGTAGGCCATGTTCTTTAGTGCAGAGCTGCTCACTTTCCCATCTCTCCTGGGAAGATGGAGAGGGCAAGATGAGGGGTAGCTGAGAAGTTTCAGGAAAAATAGGAGTTTGTGTCCCTTCTTGGCACCTCTTTATCAGGACAGTGATTATGCTTCCTTGGCCATTTCTCTGGAAGGGACTTTACAAGTGGCTGCTCCTGAGGAAGGGACAGTAGCTGGGTAGTACTGGCATTTAGTGTGGTTGTCACCTCACTGCCAGTGTGGCCTTGTTTGTTCTTGTCATGGGGGCCCTGGTACAGCTGCCCTCTCTCCCAGCTTAAGCACCTTCTTCCCCACCATGAAGCCATGCTTTGGGGATAGGGGATGATGGAGGAGCTAGGGGGCACCTGGATTTCCGCTGGAGTTCAAAAAGGAATGTAGTACAGATGGGCCCTTGTGAAGGACTTTGGGGGATGGACACAGATACCCCCTCCCCTACCCCACCTTGCTTCAGGTCCCAGGGTGTTCTACAGAGGTTGTGTAGTCCAAGCTTTATTACAGACCCAGAAACCAAAGCTATGGTCCTTTAGGTGCAGTGGGAAAGGAAGACAGGATAGAGGTGACTGTCTCTCTTACCTAATCTGCATGTTCTTACCTCCGAGTGAGCTGAGCCTGGGAGGTTGTCTAGACAGTGCGTGAATGGATGTGGCTCCTTAGTTCTGGCTTTGTGTGTTGCCTACAGTTGTATCATGCCCAAATTTGCCTGACCTTTCATCTCTTCTTCCAAATGTGGCTCTTTATGGTTAAGCTCCCATTTCCTTGCTGTGGCTCTAACATGTGGAAAGAATGTGGAATGTGGAATCCCCTGTCCTTGGTTCACATCCTGGGCTCTGTCATTGCCCTCTTGTCCTTGGGCAAATTGTAAGACTGTTTTAAACCTCTGCGTCCTGAGCACAAAGTGGAGAAATCAACACCCAATTGAGAGGTGCTGAGATAAATGTTTGGGAAAGTTCCATGCAGAGTTCTTGGTACTTAGAAGACACTTTAAAAATTATCATTCTCCACTCTCAACAATTCCCCTCTTATCCTTTTGTTTCATTTTCAAAGTTGATTTAACCTGGTTTTTGTCTCAGAGATGCACTGGTAGTAGACCTGTGCTTGGACCAGCAAATGGAAAGGAGGAAAACGGTGTGGAGATTTCTGGAGTCTGCAGGAGTTTTAGCCTTGCCCTTCCTGGGAAGCAGGAGTGGGAGATGTTTTAAAGCTAAGCCTGCCCTCATTAATCCCTGTCTCTGCAGGTTCCACTTCTCAGAAGATGCACTATTACAGATACTCGAATGCCGAGGTCAGCTGCTGGTACAAGTACCTCCTTTTCAGCTACAACATTGTTTTCTGGGTAAGTGTAGGAGAAGAGCCACATTCCCTGGTGTGCCTTCCTCAGTTGCAATTCTTTCCATATTTTTGATGGCCAAGGTGTTGGAGCAGGCACCATGAGCCCCACCCTCACAGGACCAGAGAGGACTAACAATGTGATTGAAAACCAGACCAGCCTTGAGGGTTCAGGAAGGCTTGGGGCTCTGGCCCAGGTACCTGCCTGTTTCCCTATCCCAGGAATGCCCAGTGAGACATGGACAGCAAGACATTTTGTGTGCATTTGACTGAGGCCAAGGCCTTCTCTAGATTCTAGGCTATAAAGCCCTGCCCTTGTGGTGCTTGTGGTTCACCATGAGCAGTATTAGCCTGCGGAGCATCAGAGAGCAGGCAGGGAGAAGCTCCTTCTCCTTGGCTGGGTGGTGGGGAAGAGTGTTCTGAAGTGAGTTGCAGGAGGGACTTGAGTACTAGTGAAGACACAGTTGAGTAGGGTTTGGGGAAGAAAGTTCCAGGCAGAGAATGGTAGTTGCAAGGGCCCTGAGGCAGGAATGAGCCCAGCATGTGCAAAGAACAAAAGCAGGCAATATGGCTGGAGTTGTAAGGGGACACAGGTCAGGACATGGGTATGTAGGAACCAGGTCACAAAGAATTGTATAAGTCTCAGTAGGTAATTGGAATTTTCTACTTCTTTAAATTACTTGAAAAGTTGTAAATTAGATGGTGTGATCTGACTTTGGAGTGGCTACAGAGTGAGGGAGAGAATGGTTGTACTATGTTCTGGTTGTACTATGTTCTGAGGGGTAGGGGCAGAATGGTAAGTTTGAGTTTCTTCTTAGCTAGCCCTGTGGAGAGGTTGGTTTCCTTTGTCAGTGACAATCCTGGAAAGGATACTTGGCAGCCATCTGAGGAAGGGGTAAGTGGACAAGAGCCTTAAGACCAGCCTGTTGACTATAGAGAGGTCTGAGTATTGAGCCTTGGGATGCTGGGTGGAGGAGAAAAGCCACTCAGAGCTGGCTGAGAGTGGCCTGAGAGGCAAAAGGAAGACCAGGAAATTATGGGGGAGCTATGCCACAGTCAGCCATAATACAGCATGGTGACACAGAATGAGGGTAGAAAACTGGCAGTGACATGGACAAGGTAGAGGTGATTGGAGCTGGAGCTGCTCAGTGCTCTGGGAGAGAGGGCAAGGGGGATGGAAACCCAGTTGGAGTTGGCCAAGGAGCCAACCGAAAAGTGAAAAAGTGAAATGGTGACTCATTGTAGTTCTTTTAAGATTCTTGCCTTAAGGAGAAGAAAAATTGGGCACTGGCTGGAAGTGGTCAGGTATTAAGAAAAATATGCTATGTGTGTTTGGCCAGTAGGGTTGGTCCAGGGAGCAGCAGGCACTGTCCTTGTGAAGGAGGGTGAAGGGACATGATTGTGCACAGAGAAGCCAGTATCTACTGTAGTTTGGATTTTGAATGTCCCCTTGAGGCCCATGGGTAAAAAGCTTGGACCCCAGCCTATGGTGCTGTGGAGGTGGTAGAACCTTCAACAGGTGGGTCCTAGTGAAAGGTCTTAGATTTTTGGGAGCTCTGGTTTCTTCCGTGTTTTTTGCATCATGACTACGAAGTGATTGATTTTGCTATGTGCTGCTACCATGATATCCTGTCTCACCACAAGCTCAAAAGCAACAGAGCCAACCAGTTATGGACTGAAACTTCCAAACATGGGTCAAAATAAACCTTTTCTCATTATAAGCTGATTTTCTCAGGTATAGCTGACTAACATGTTTCTGAGTGGGGGCAGATGGAGTAGCAGGGTCAGAATGAGTGACAGTGATGCCACATTTTGCTTCTGTGGATTTGTCTGTTCCAATTTGGACTGGAACTCTTGAGAACAAGGCAGGTTTACTAAGGCTTGTCAGCTTTTTAACCTTGGTTTTATGCATTATCTCCTGTCAGTTTATCTCAGTGTTTGAGGCTTTTCTGTTGTGGAGAAATAGGGTGGGATTTAATGACTTGGCCTTTTACCCCAGGTCATTTCCTGTGCTCCGAAAACATTTCACCAACAGTCTCATTACCGCCCCTGGAATAGAGCTTCATTGCTGGATATTTAATGTGGTTCCTGCTGGACCCTCCTAATGGGGGGATTGTGCCCCATCACTGCCATGTGTGGTTTCCCAGACTTTCATTTCTCCCTGTTTGAAGGGAGCCCTCTGGCCCCACCAGGCATGCTCCACCTCTCAAACCAGGTGTATGATAGAGAACCACCTAGATTTGGTAGGCAGCCTAGCACTTTGGACACTTGAGCACCCGGTTCTTCTCCTTCGACTCCCATCCTGATTTTCACAGCTAAAGTAAAACTCACCGCTGCCTTGCTAGGGCCTTGGTCACCTCCATGTCTTTAGAGGCTCTTCAGAATAGATTCTTGGCTCTCAGGGAGCTCTAGGAGCTCTACTCACTTGCCCAGGAACACATTTGCAGCACCAAATTCATACAGTGTAGTTAATGAATACAGAATTGTAGCAAGTCTGCTTGGTGGTTGAAGGGTGTTATAGTGTTAGAAGGGTTTTGCAGAATTGGCACTGCATGTGGTTGAGAGTTAATCATTTTTGTTAGTGTGTACTGGGGCAGAACAGGAGGGAACAAACAGGAATCATCAGGAAATGAGAGCTTGGTTGGGAAATGTAAGTGGGAGTCCAGGCACCCTGCTCAGGCAGAGGCTGCCCACACCCTCCCTGCTGGGTGTCTGGCATGGATTTTCTGTCTTCATCTGCGCAGGTGCCAGCACTGTGGAGTGATGCTTGAGAACTGAGGCATAAAGCCTTCTGGGAAGCTCAAGGGGCAGTGGGCAGATATCAGGCTGCTCTGGACACTTGGGTGCCAATCTGGACTGATAAGCTTAGAGTTTTCCCTGAGAAACATTGATCTCAGTTGCCTGTTGTCTGCCTCATAAGGTTGCTGAAAAAGTATAAAATGGTGTGCCAATTTCTTCAGAGTAGTTTTCTTCTTTTAAATGAAGAAAATACAAAACTAGAAAAATATAATGAGTTTCATGTTCCTATCTTCTGGTTTCAAAAATTATCCACTCATAGCTGCTCTTATTTTACTTGTGCTCACTCCCCACCCCTCGAACATTATTTTGCACAAAGAGTGTTGATTTTGTTTGGAGAAGTTTGAATATGTAAAAGGGAATGTGTTGTTTCTGTGATCAGGTTTAGGTGGTGGGAAACAAGCTTTAATTTAACTGTTTGCCCCATTTAGCATTGTTTTTACAATAATTTTCTTTATAGCTAAATACTTGTAGCATTCTAACAATTTTTGTAAGCTCTTTTTCTAGCTTTGGGGCTGAAGTTACCCAGGGACCGTAAATACCTGCTTGGAGTAAGAAGTGTGGATCCTGCTGATGTCTCTTAAGTGACTGGATCTGGGCTTCATGAGTTTCTTATCACAGGGCTGTTGTGGAAAAATTGCTTCCAACTGACATAGCATTTTGAGAGCAGTAGCACTTCATACTTTCTTTTTTAAAAAATCACTTTTGGTGTGCTAGTCTAGTGCAAAATCTCACTTCAATGCAAACAAATGCAAATCAAAACCACAAAGGAGATACCACTTCATGCCCATTAGGATGTCTATTATTTGGAAAAACAAAACAGCAGAAATGTTGGCAAGGATGTAGAGAAATTGGTGTCCTTGTACAGTGTTTGCAGGGATTTAAATGCAACCATGATGGAAAGTAGTATGGTGGTACCTCAGAAAACTAAAAATAGAATTACCTTATGATCTGACATTCCCACTTTTGGTATACACCCAGAAGAACTGAAGGTAGATATCAAAGAGGTCTGTGTGTACCCATGTGCATAGCAGCATTACTCACAATAGCCAGTCTCCACTGACAATTGAATGCATAAATAAATTGTGGTGTGCCAGAGTCTCGTTCACCCTTAAAAGGAAGGCAGTTAGAACCCATACTGTAATGTAGGTGGCTTTGAGGGACATTGTGCTAAATGAAATAAGCTAGATGCAAAAAAGAAAAATATTTGATTCTTGATGTAAGACAAATATTGCATAGTTCCACTTATGTTACCTGGAATAGTCAAAAATCGTAGCGACAGAAAGTGGAAGTTCATTGTCAAGAGTGTGGGAGGAGAGTGTGCTGAGTCTTAGTCCATTTGTGTTGCTGGTTCATTTATGTACAATAGAAGTTTATTTGGTTTATTGTTCTTGAAACTAGGAAGTCCAAAATTTGGGGGGGGGGTCACGCCTGGTGAGGGCCTTCTTGCCCCATTTTAACATGAAAGAAGGCATCACATGAGCAGGGGGAGAGGGAGGGAGGAAAGCAGGGAGGAGGGGAGAGAGAGAGAGAGAGAAAGAGAGACTGACTCATGTTCATAACAAACTTACCCAGGTGGTAGTGATACTGATTCATTCATTTTCCTGAGGCCCTAATCACCATTTAAAAGTCTCACTTCTCAGTACTGTTGCACTGGGCTTTTAACTTCCCAACACATGAATTTTGGGGGACACATTGAAACCATATCAGGAGTTACTGTTAGTGGGTCCAGAGCTTCAGTTTTGTAAGATGAAAAGGGTTCTGTGGATGGATGGCAGTGATGGTTGCATCATTCTGTGAATGCACTTATTGCCACTTACAAATGGTTAAAACAAATTTTAGATCTTGTGTATTTTGTCACAATTAAACTTTAAAAAAAAGTTTCACTTTAAATTGCAGAGATAGGGAAGCTGGGAGAGGTAGACACTGGAGGAGCCACACATGGCCTGTCTTTGTTCATTCACACCTGACCGGTTCCATAAAGAATGTGCACTTCCCTGGTTTTGCAGAGGGATGTTTCAGATGGTCTCTGCAACTCTAGGATTGCTTTCCATCACAAGCATTGGCTTTAATCTGTGAAAGTTCAGACAAAGCCTTTGCTTGGATCTGTTTTAGAGATGGATTAAAAATAAAGAACTCAGATCCCTTCTAAATACAGATGATAGGCCTGTATTACACAGCAAGGAGAGTTCCTCTGCTTGTTTTTAGTTC